TGTTTTGATGTCACGTGACTCACATTGTTCTGTTTAATCTCGTTGTCTTGGACAAAATGTGAGATGAGGGACGTAGGAGGCAGTAAACACTGAAAGGCTTTTTCACTGGAGTGTTCTCTGCTGCACACAGAGCTTTCAGTGTCTCAAAACAATGAAAACGACGCCGTCCTGCAGCATGATGTTTAGCTGAAAACACTGAAGGAGATCGGTGTAGTTCAGGAAGTGATCTGGATCAGTGATCCTGCATAAAGCTGCATGATGCATTTGGCCAAAGCAGCACCATAGGTTTTCCTGTTAATACAGATCTGACGACTCAAACACTGAACATCAACCAGGTTACTTTTGCATTTATTCATTTATGCAAAGTGACTTACAAATGAGGAACAAGCCATTATTTATAGTACACAATGACAAGATTAAAGAATAAAACTAGATTAGTACACAAACTGGAGCAGAAGAGGAAGCTACAGATTCATGTTTCATATTTAAATAGGAGTCATTGTAGTAACTGTCTTTGTTTATGGTTGTAGTTAGTTTAGTGCTCCTGTCTTCAGCTGTTTGAAGGTTATGATGGTCTAAAATGGTTATATGGAGGTTGGAGTTCATTCCACCGCAGAGGAACAGAGATGGTGAAGGGTCTGGAAAAGTACTTTATGCCTCATTGTGAACGAACAAACACCTGTAAGAATGTTCCAGTCCTGAAAATCAAAGTCAGTCTTAAATTTGATGCTTGAATTTCAGTAGCCAGATTAAGATGTACGTAACACATAATTACTAGGGAGAATGATTCATATTTTGTTAGATTCAGTGTAAATGATGACTGATTATGACAGAAAGGTCGTGTAAAGACCGTAGTGATTCGTTACTTAATGATTCAGTGTTTTTGAACGAATCAGGTCAATCAAGTCAATGATTCAGTGAGCCATTCATAAAGAATATTTAAGTAAGTGCTGATAGAACGCTGATGGGAATGTTGCTTTAGAATAAATTATATTGAGACAACAACAGCAACAACAACAAAAATCTAATTTTCTTTCCGGACCAGCAACGTCTTTACTTGGACAAGTTAATGACCGATTGTCTGAAGTACAAGCACATGTGAAGATTTAAAGGCAGGGTAGATGATTTGGTTCAGAAAAATGTTTTATGTCGGTTGAAAGTCTCTTCACATCCCAACAGCAATCATTCAGATAAGTGCTCTAAATGTATTTATATGCGTTTGTATCATCTGTGGAAGGCGTAGGACCATAAAATGTTCGTTCAGTCAGATTCCTCAATCCCGAGGGCTAAAATAGGCTGTCTTACCTGCCTGTCAACGTATGCATTTGCATACATGATACACCATCAGCGCGGTCCATTACGCTACTGCAGACCGAGCGAGAATGGAAGGTGTTACTACTGTAATATTCTGCACTTTGTACTGTAATGTTTTCTCACCGCTGAATGAGACATGAGCTAATCTGACAGCGTTGATGCCGTCTCTCATCGTGTGGCTGGTTATCTTGTGCACGGTCATGTGTTTTGGAGGAGGCGTGGCTTTGGAGAGTGATTTGCAGGGAGGGTGGGATCTTATGCTTTCAAAGCTAGCTTGCTATTGATAGCCTCTCCAGAATCGCCAGCCCTACCTTTAATGATTCAGCATATTTGAATGAATCGGGTGAGTCAATGACTACGTTAACATGTTAACAATTATTTACCTTATTCTAAATAAGACAATATTATGATTAAGGTGTTAACATGAGTTGCTTTTAGAATGTGCCTTTCATGTTCCTGTTTTACATGTTATAGTATAGATGGATTAATGGCACACGTCATTACGTCCCCACGCAATGCCATCCGACGTCCAACTTAGAATTTCACATATAAGCATATAGTTAGTCTTCGTTATGATGCCATATACAGTTTTGGGTGTTTCATTTTTAATTTTACGAAAGCTTCAGGTGCAGTTAATTATTTCTCATGCTATACGTGCAAACAGACGACGGTGTTGTTGAAGCTCTTTTGTTTGCCGTCAAACGGTTGAGCACTGCCATGTGTGTATCCTGTCGCAAAATGCTGCGAAAAGTCCTACACGACGGTAATAATGTGATTAATAGTCTGTACTGCACTTCAATAATGCGACTAAAATAGAAATACTCCACGTCTTTATTTGATTTGTGTTTACTTCGAGTATGACTTTAGCCGGATTAAGGGAATCAAAAATCTCTGTTTACATGGTAGATTCTTAATAAGAGTATTGTCTTAAACATTTTAAAATCTGAATATTGTTGTCCATGTAAACGTACTGACTGATTCAGTGAGCCATTCATAAAGAATATTTATGGAAGAGCTGATAGAATTCTGATGGGAATATTGCTTCAGAATAAATTACATTTACACCACAAAAAAAAATAAAAAATTATAAAATAATTCCAGACAAGCAACTTTTTTACGTGGACAAGTGAATGACCTATTTAGCACATGTGAAGGCTTAATGTTGAGCCCTGCATTAGTGCACATGCTTGACCTTAACTTGCTCTACCTCTGAAATGACTTTCTAGGCCCGGGCAGGCTGTTGGTTAAATGGCAAATGTCTAATTTGAAGAAATCATAATCAGTATGAACAGCCCAACTGGCTCAAACTAAAATGGACTAATGACTAAACTAATGAGTTTGGGCTGGATCTGCCTGTCTGTCTTTGTAATAAGCATTTGAAACTTGTTTAACCTGTTTAAAAACAGTAATTTCTGTGATGGCAGCATGGTAATATACTTGATAACGTTAATGTGTTTGGTCTTAGCAGAATAGATCTGCTACGCAAATACTGAGACTTACTAAGACTTGACAATACATCCACAGACATGGAAATACTGCTGCTGCACATATAACATATGAAATAACTCCACTATATGTCAAATAGCCTGAAGCAGATCTATACAGGTGGAGCTGGGGAGGTGGAGGGTTTCTCAAGCGTGTTAAGCAGCAAGCTCATTGGCTGCCGATGTGAAAAGAAACCAATCAGCTGTGCCATGTGAATAATGATGTTAGTATATCAGATTGAGTTATGGCCTATCAGCCTGTGCAGTCTTAAGGTTTCATGACAGAGCTGTGTATTAATTGTGCAGCTCCGAAATGGGCTGTGATTGCGGTTTCTTCAACATTCTGGTTAAAGCAAAGGAAACACACAGATGTTATGAACGGTTATTTAATCAGCTTCAGTGATTGTATTGTTTGAAACTGTCAAGGCAGATTAAACCGTGATTAATTTCTCTAATCTAGATTAGTCCCATATGCTGCATGAATCCTGATGAGAAGACCAGCAGGACTGTTGTTTTGAATGACAGTCTACACCAGGGTTCCTCAATAGGCGGCCTGCGTGAGAGAAAAATGTTTGGCCGGTGCTAATTTCAAATAATGTGGCATGAAAATTCTAACGCAGCATCAAACAGTGACAAAATACAATAGAACCCATTATAATCAGTGATGCTGTCAATACTGGATGCAGTGCACATGGCATGACAAATGTTGTGTCCGGTGTAAAATACGGCGAGTGTGACGAAAAGAATAGTGGAGATGGAAAACAGACGATTCGAAATGTGAATGAACTGAACAATTTTGAGTGAGTGAGTGATACCATCTTTGTTATGGAATACAAGTGTTGTTCACATTGAGTTGACAATTTTACCGTACCACAAGTTTGCTTTAATTCATTTTCAAGATCTGAGGTAAAATATCTATTGTTGCTTTCAGTATGGCTATAAAGATCACGCAAAATAATATTCAAACTCAGATTATTAAACATTGAATAAATCATATAATCATTACCCGAGTAATGATGTACTGAGTAATCATCACTGTCATAGTTTGTATGTTGTTCCAGCTGCGACATTGAAGAAAATAGAAACTGTTTCAAAAATAGAATTCCCTGTCACTTGCAGCTGTCGCGGGTTGATAGGACAGAAACCAGTGTTGGGTAAAAAGTTACCTTTAAAAGTGCATTACAATATTGCGTTACTCGTACATAATTACGTTACTTAGTTACTTTTTATGGAAAGTAATGCGTTACGTTATTTTGTGTTACTTTTCAAATCTGGGCTGGGCTGGCTTGTTTGTTTTTAATATATAAAGTTCTATTTTTGGTAAATGTAAAAGCCCTGTCACACCAAAAAGTGAAATGAATAAACCTCAGGCTGAAGGAAAAGTAAACGTCTGTACAGCAGCATGCAGAAGAAAGTTCAACACTCGTCAGCCATAAAAAAAAAACGAAGCACAAATGTTAGTTTATCTAAAGTAATTTTTGCTTATTAGTATGATTGAATTTGATAATCAAAGCTCAGCAGCAAAGACATCGGTTAATAAAATGGGATTAAATACATAAAGGATATTTGCGTTATTAACCATTTAAGTATTGCAGATTTGCGTCATATTCTGAGTTTGCATTTCACTGTTCTTTATTCCTTTGGAAGTATACTGAATCGGTTTTTGTGCAGGTGAGATGAGTAAATGCATGCTCACATAGAGCTAATCATACACAGGGCACACAATGAATGCCTCTGTACTTGTACTCAACGTGGGTACAGGAGAGCTGTCAGTGAATAAATGGGAAAACAAAGTAACTGGCGTTACTTATTTGAAAAAGTAACTGATATTTTCTTGTAAATTAAAAAAAGTAATCTGATTATGCAACTCGTGTTACTTGTAATGCATTAACCTCAACACTGACAAAAACTACATGGAAAAAGATACATTTTATCACGTCGCGTCTGGTTGGGACACGGTGTTACAGTTTGAGCCAGTTTGAGTATAAAAATATTAATGCTGACAGATCTAATAATTGGAATCTGCAATTAGGGAAAGTGGAGAGAAGAGATCCAGATGAGCAGGAACAGTTGACCTGCATGGCATTTTTTGTTTGTTCATTGTTTTTTTTTTATATATTTAACAGGCAAAGTTCTTTAGGTTTCTCTATTTGAATACAAAAATGTTCATAATTGTTTGAATAAAACAGACTACTAGGGGGAAAAATCTGAATATTTATCTTGTGACTCTTAACAACAACAACAACAAGCAGCAAACATTTTGGTCCTAACATGGTCAGTGGCCCTTGGCTTGGTATTGTTGGCAGAATTTAACCCTCAGTGAAAACTAACTGAGGAACCCTGGTCTCCACCGCCGTTACCACACACTCCACCTCCGTTATGATGCTCATGGTTTCTCTTCTTCTCTGTGCAGGTTTTCTGAGTTCGCGTGTCATCGGTCATGGCGCTGGTCCAGTCTCTGCCCGTGTCCATTGACCATCCGGGACCAGGCCTGGACCCGCGTCTCCATCCCGCCTCGCCTCCTCTGATGGGAGCGATGGGTGCCGTAGGCAGCATGATGCAGAGTCACGTCACTTATCCTGACCGCGCAAACATAGAGGTCAGCACCAGATTCCGCAAGGGCACGCCGGGCTCCGGACGCCTGCTGTCCGAAACCTCACAGGGAAGTCGGACTCCGTCCAGCAAGAGGAGGAACGTCGCCGGCAGAGCCAAGGGCTTCGGTGCTCGCTCATATTCACATGAGGACTTGATAAGTGACTGGAACGATAATCATTTGTATGTGGGTTCGACTTGTGTGGACGGACCTCCTAGACTGGTTGCAGTGTCTGGACAATTAGAAAGAGTGAGTACAGGATTACAGATTAATAAAATAAATTGAATTAATTAAATGTAATAAAATGTAAAATATTTTTACAGACTAGAAGATAGATGCATCATGATTTCTGATGTTCATTTCTCTCAGAACGTTCAGCAGGCCATAATTAGACCCACTGCCTTCAAACCCGTGGTCCCTAGGAGCCATAACGGCATGCAGTATCTGTCCCCGCGGCTCGGCGCCGGTCTGTCGGGAAGCCAAGGAAACCTCAGCATGTGTTCTCCAGAAGACGAAGACGTCTCGCCCGTGACGACAGAACGTCGCAGCTCTTACAGCGGCGCTCGCAATGCTTTGTTCAGCCAGTCGTTTACGATGACGGACACGGCGCGCAAATCCTTAACCAACCTGCCGGCGTATAACGGGCCGAGCCAGAGCGAGGCGAGCAAACATCACGGACACTCCAACTCCGACAGCGGCCGCTCCTCGTCCAGCAAGAGCACGGGCTCCCTGAGCGGCCGCGGCCCCCTGCTGACCGACCCGCTGTCCCCGCCGCCCATCGAGGCCTACGAGGCCATCGTCAGAGACCTGGAGGACAAACTGAGGGAGCGAGACCTGGAGCTTCAGCAGCTCGGGGAAAACCTGGACGAGAACGAAGCAGCCATCTGTCAGGTGTGTGAGAGGCATGCTTCATCTCGACTTGAAGGGTTAGTTCACCCAAAAATGAAAATTCTGTCATTAATTGGAGGGCGCTCTTGCGCAGAAACTCCACACATGCATCGCGGAAGTAATAGCACTGACGATGCTCCAGGAAATCCCTAATATGGACAAAGGTATCCAGTTATCGCTGAATAAAATGCAGATAGAGAAATTTTAATTGAGGAAACTTGAAGAAAATAAACATACAATTGTGAAAATATATGGTTTGTGTTCTTAAAGCAATCTTAGGTATTTTTATAAGGATAAAGTATATTTATAATAGAGATGCACCGATCGACCGGCTAGGGTTAGGTACGCAACATTGCACGACCAAAATGTTTCAATAAGATTTGCACGAGCCATTTCTATCACGAAGCTGATGGTCAAATAATATGATCTACTTGAATTATTTAGAGAAACAGCCACTTTAAAATGCTATGGAGAAAGTCGAACATTATCTAAAAAAGGCAAATAAACTAAAAAGACTGATGAAAAGAGGAGAAAAGTCTTGAACCAGCACTAACATATAGGCTATTAAAATCTTTTTAAATCATGACCACCTTTACTAGAATTTATCACGTTTTATTGTAGGCTTATTTATTGTGTAAAATGTTGTCGAACTTGTAGAATTTATGTTAGATAATCTTTGAAGGGAATAGATTTTTCCCTATAGATTTATATTACAGCTGTAGCATGTTGTAGCTATTGGCTCTAAATGTGCAGGCGGTCGTTTCTTCATAACAAATGCTATATTAATTAAAATAAAGTCATTATTGGCCTGGTTATGATTAATAGGCTAGTCTTATTATAACAAATGCTACAGTTAAGAATTATTGGTACATGGCCTTCAGATATTCCAAAAGATGGCAGATTAAATCATTAAGAGCCTGATGAACTGCCTGAGGAATAAGAAATAAACAATATCAATATAAGAAAATATTAAGATTGACTTCCCATGGCATGTTGATTTAGAACATTGTCAAACTATAGCCTATAAGTGCCTAAATCATATCAAATACATTACATAGATATATATATGTAAACAAGTAATTGTTAACTATGATGTTACTTTATTGCATCAACTTTGCATAGATTATAGCACAAAAGACCATTTCACAAAAATAAATATATAAGCAAACAAACAAATAAACCTTATGAGTGAGCATGACCCGGGGCTCTACTAAAACAGTTCACACTTCAACCTACTACACCTTACTACACAGAGTACGCTGTAGTTCACCGACAAGCTACGCAAAAAAAAAAATAATTA